TACCCATGATCCTACTCACCATACTGGTTCACTAAGCACACTGCAGTACACACCAGCACCACCACCACCACCACTACACTTGCCTGAGCCTACACCTGGTAGATCTACTGGTAGTGCCACTGGTCGTGCACAGTGGAGCAATGCAGAGTACACTTCTGACAGCGAGTCTGTCTGGTCGGATGCTGACTCCACGTCTACCAACACCTCATTCCATGCACCCTCGGTTGTTCCAAGCTCTGCTATGTTTGTTGCTGCAGTCTCCCAGGCTGCCAGTCATGCCGCACGTGCTGCTGTGGAGGCCACATGGCAGATGGACACCTCGAACACACCACGTCGCACTCCTGGTCGGACACCCGTGCAGCTCCCTAATCTCACACTGCCGACCTTTCATGGTGATATCCTTGCATGGCCCGACTTTTGGGATATGTTTTCTGCTGCAGTCGACACACAGCAGTTACCCCAGGTGTCAAAGTTCACGTATCTGCGCAGTGTGCTGAAAGGTCCTGCCGCCCGCCTGGTCTCCGGCATTGCAGTGACCGACGCAAATTATCCGACTGCTGTCAGCACCCTGAAGGCCGAGTATGGCAAGCCTGATATAGTTATTGCTCAGTTATACGGTCGCTTACAGCATATCGCTCAGTCCTCCACACGCTATGCGGATATAAAATCTACATGTGAGGCTCTGGAGAACATCCTCCTGCAACTGGAGGCCCAGGGGGAAGTACTGAAAGGTCAACGCCTTGTATGCCACCAGGTACTCTCAAAGCTTCCACTGAGTGTCACTACGAAGCTTGAGGAGTGGCGACCCTCCCATGACGTCTAAGTACCGTGGGACATAGAAGACCTCCGCCAGTACCTGAAACGGTACGTGCTTCTGCACGACCGAGCACAACAACGCTCTGGCCAGCAGCAAAGCACCGCTCCAGTGGATATGCTGCCGTCCAGTACACTTGTGGCCACTTCTGGCGCAACGTTCCGTAGGCCGCAAGCTGCTACGTCCGCACCCGCTCGGCCACGGAAGCCGTGTGTGTTCTGCGGTGGTGCCCACAACCACGATGCCTGCGGAAGGTTCGCAACTACCTCAGCTCGGAAGGACAGGCTCCTTGAGCTCCATCTCTGTTACCGTTGTCTTGGCAAAGGCCATGTCGCATCTGCCTGCACCCAGCAACGGAAATGCCGACATTGCCAGAAGCCGAATCATCACAACACTGCTATTTGTTCGCGGTGCCAACAGTCTGCTGTTCACCAGATCAGTGTCAACAATGTGCAACAGCAGCCGCCACCCCAGCAACAGCAGCAGCCACGGCCGCAGCGGTCGCCGCCTCCGCCGCCACAACAACAGCTGCCACAGCAGCAGTCTCAATCCGCTACGACACCAGCACAGTTCTCATCTTCATGTATGTCTGTCAATGTCCAGTGCAACACGGTACAGGATCGTGTCGGTTTAGCGCGCATGATGACTGCAACTTTTGCTATCGCCGCCAATGGTCGCCGTACCACTGTGCGCATCCTGTTTGACAGTGGCAGTCAATCAACATTCCTCAGCGCATCTGCTGCTGAGCAACTTCAACTTCAGCCCCTCGGTAAGGACACGCTGAACGTATTCTCCTTTGGCAGTGAGACTCCTCTGCGCCTTGTGCCAGATGTGGTACAATTTGCTCTCCTCCACAAGGACGGTTCTACTCGGACTCTTCATGCGCATGTGTTGCCAGCATCGAAGACGATCCACCCTGTGCAGCACAGCTCACTCTCTGCGGCAGACAGAGCAGTTCTGATCAATCTGCCGGCAGACTCTCTGGCTGATCCGTTACCGGACGGTGCCTCCACTCATGCAGTTGACTTGCTACTGGGCATACAGTACTTCTGGGACCTCATGAGTGGTCTGCCAACACGGTTGCCTTCTGGCCTCTACCTCATTCTGTCTCGATTGGGATATCTGTTGTCTGGCAACCCGAATCCAGCCACTGCAGACAGCTCGCATGCCTCTGCTTCTGACTCTGTGGTCTTTGTGTGCGCTACGGAACGCGTACCGGATCTGTCCGAGATGTGGTCTCTCGACAGTATTGGTATCAGTGACTCGCCGTTCCTCACTGACGACAACCGTGCCCAGCAGCACTTCAACTCAACCGTCCGATTTCGCGATGGCCGATATGAAGTCGCTTGGCCGTGGAAGTCTGAGCCACCTGACCTGCGAGACAACTATGGCCTCGCACTTGGTCGTTTGACCTCCCTCGCTAAGCAGCTCGCTAGGGACCATGACCTGCTATTGCGCTACGATGCAGTGATCCAGTCTCAGGTTGAGCTGGGTATTGTTGAACGTGTGTCAACCAACACTTCAACTCACACAGTCAAGCACTACCTGCCGCACCAGCCAGTCGTGACACCCTCCAAGGCGACCACTAAGCTGCGCATTGTATACGATGCCTCGGCCAAGTCATCCAAAGCAACGAAGTGTCTGAACGAGTGCATGCATCGTGGCCCTATCAACTTGCCGAATCTCTGTGGCATACTTCTCCGCTTCCGTTGCCACTCCATTGTGCTGTTGGCTGACATCAAGAAAGCGTTTCTCCAGCTCAGCATTCGTCCGGATGACCGAGATGTTACACGTTTTCTCTGGTTTGACGATCCAGCAAAGCCTGCCACATCCAAGGACAACTTGGCTGTGTATCGTTTCTGCAGGATGCCGTTCGGTATTGTTGCCAGTCCGTTTCTGCTGGAAGCTACTATCCATCACCATCTGCAGCTGCAGTGTACTCCTCTTGCCGCTTCTATCGATCAGAATATCTACGTGGACAACGTGTTGATTGGTGTCTCGGATGTTTCTGATGTTCTTGCCGTATATGAGGAGGCCAAGTCCGTTTTCCAGCGTGCATCAATGAATTTGCGTGAGTGGACAACCAATAGTACAGCTGCTCGGGCGACTCTACCAGCGGATGACATCGTCACGACTCGACATGTCAAGGTGCTTGGTTTACAGTGGGACACACATGACGATGTATTGTCAATTGCTGGTTCTCGCTGCACCCTCTCTGCTGCTGCACCTGCTACTAAGCGCATTGTCTTGCAAGCCGTCTCTGCTTTGTACGATCCGCTTGGTCTACTCGTACCAGCCATTCTGTCTGGGCGCCTGCTACTTCGTCAATTGTGGCAAGCTGAGCTCAATTGGGATGACCCTCTACCTGCACACTTTACTGACGAGTGGTCTGCTATCTCCTCTATGATGCCATCGCTCTCTTCGATCACTATTCCCCGTTTGTGTTGCCCGGTCGGCAGCGCTACGGATGTGCAGCTCCATATCTTCACTGACGCTTCTGTCAATGCGTATGCAGCTGCTGGCTACCTCCGGGTCACAGATGGCAGTTCGGTACACTCTGCCCTCGTCTTCAGCAAGATGCGGCTCGCACCAGCTCCCAAGAAGTCATCTTCTACAGCTGACACCATGACCATTCCTCGCCTGGAATTACTGGGTGCTGTCATAGGTGCTCGACTTGCGTCATTCCTTCGGCAGGAGCTCAACCTCACGCTCTCGTCCACTACTGTCTGGACTGATGCCAGGTGCGTTCTGCATTGGCTTGTATCAAGTCGGGACCTGTCTACATTTGTGGCCAATCGCATCGCTAGTTTACGTGCTCTGCCGGACATCACGTATCGCTATGTCCCCAGTGCTGCTAATCCTGTTGATTTGGCTACTTGTCCGCAAACAGCTGCGCAGCTCGCCGACAGTACTCTATGGTGGTCTGGTCCTTCGTGGCTAACAGAAGACGTCAGCAAATGGCCTGCTTCTAGTCACCCCACCATCACTCCTCAGGACTTGGCGTTGGCCGAGGCCGAGTATCGTGGACCTCGTCTCATCCACAGCATGCTCGCTACCCAACCAGTCCTGCCGCCGTCACTTGTGCAGCAGTCTATCCTAACGCGCTCGTCCTCACTGTCCAAAGACGTCAGAATCTTGACCTACTGCATGCATTTCCTCTATCGTGTTGTGTGGACTCGGTTGCCAGCTGCTCAGCAGACACGCCTTCAGGATGGCCATGCTCTGCTAGCTCAGCTACTCAGCCAGTTTGATGCTCAACCGTACGTCTTCAGCGTCAGTGTGCGACGCTTGGTTCTGTCTCTATTCGTACGTTCAGCGCAGCACAGCTCCTATCCTGATCTGTACTCTGGTTCTCTCGCTGATAGCACGTCACCGTTGGTGAAGCAATTTGGTCTTCAGCGTGACCAGCTCGGTATTATCCGTTGTCATGGCAAGCTTGCTCACGTCCATGCCACCAGCCAGCCTGCTCTGCTGCCACGCCAGCATCGTCTCACTGTCTTGATCATTCTCGACATCCATGGCCGCCTGCTGGTCCAAGCCACACCCTCGCGCAGCTTCTCCTCAACTTCTGGGTTCCTCATGGTCGTCAGGCTGTTCGCCATGAACTGAAGCTATGTCTTGTGTGCCGTCGTCAAGACTCGCCACCCTATTGTCTTCCGTTGATGCCACCTCTGCCTGCTGAGCGTGTCAACCCTGCTCATCCATTTGAGTTCACCGGTCTGGACTACTTTGGACCATTGCTCATCAAGCAGTCCGACTCCTCCACGACCAAGGTATGGGTCTGTTTATTCACCTGTTTCGCTATCCGTACTGTCCATCTCGAGTTCGTGGATGACATGTCCACAGCTGCCTTCATCTCCGGCTTACGTCGCTTCATTGCTCGTCGTGGCGTACCGCGACTGTTGTATTCTGACAACGCCAGCCAATTTCACCTCGCCAGTTCTGCCGTGCCGGATGCCTGGTCCTCTTTACCGTCTGACCCCGTCCTAGGCGAGTTTCTCTCTCAACGTCAGATCACGTGGAAATTCACCACTGCTCTCGCCCCATGGCAAGGTGGTATTTATGAGCGCATGATTGGCCTTGTGAAGGGCTGCATGCGGAAAGTTGTTGGCCGGCAGTTGCTCTCGCTCCCACAGCTCCTCACCTTGCTGGCTGAGGTTGAAGCTGTCGTCAACAACCGCCCACTGACTCCCGTTTCGGCTGACGATGAAGGTCCTGGTCTTCTCGTGCTCTCTCCAGCTCACTTCCTCGTTGGTGGTCGACCCACGCTGATCCCTGTCGACACATCCTCTGCTGATGATCCCGACTATTCGCCTGATATCAGCTCCCGGGATTACATCTTGCAGTGGTGGAGGGCGTCCAAGTTCTCTTGGAACGTTTCTGGAAATGCTGGCGGACTGAGTACTTGCAATTACTCAGGGAACGTGCGAACCCTGATCACCGCCAGCCCAAGACGTCTCTATCCGGCCAGCCACAGGTCGGGGAGATCGTCATCGTCAAATCCGAAGGTATACCACGTGGCCAGTGGAACATTGGCAAGGTAACAGCGGCTAACGCTAGTGTGACAGATGGTTGCGTCCGCTCAGCATGCCGTCTGGCCGCACAGTGGAACGCCCACTATCGCTGCTGTATCCACTCGAGGTACCCAGCACCCGGCAGGATGATGCCCCCGCAGTCATCAGCAGCCAGCAATCGGATGATGCTCCTGGAGTGCAAGCACCACCGCCATCAGCAACCCGCCCGAGGCGCAAGGCTGCCGATCAGGCGCGCCAAAACATCGCTAGGTGGACGGCTTGTAACTTCACGGCGTTAAGGTAAGTATAACTTTTTATATTTCTACGCTTTAGTTCACAATCTTCTTTGTTCCTTTCTCTTTCTAGTGCATTCACACTTCTGTTTGGTGGGAGTGTCGAGAACTGCCGTTCACGAATATTTGAAATACATATAAATTTAGTGTTCACGTCTTACTTGAACTTCCTGTAGTTTCAGTCTGCAACTCCGTCGTCTTTCTCCTTTTCTAACTCAGTCTTTCCATTATCTGACAGTGGTGCTCTCACCTCTAGCTAGGTGCAAGCACCCTCCGCCAGACGCGAACTACATTCTTGTTTCTCTAAAGTCTCTCAAATATATTTCTTCTTCGCGTTCACTTTCGTTCTGCAGTTTATTTATTTATTTATTTTCCTTTCTTTCTACCTCGTGGTACACGCGCTACATGTGCCACCATCTTTGTTTCCATGGCACCACAGTGCACCTGACCACGCGATCGCTACGCAGCTCAGGCCCGAATGGGTCCGGGTGCGCTGCGCGCGTCACGATCTATTTGGCCTCGCTTGCTTCCGAGCACCGCCGTTTTCGGAGCGTACTGATTGTGCGTCTCAGTTCTTTTCTCCGTTGTTTGTATCTCCTTGGTATTGGGTTTTGCTTCTTCTTGACTGAAGTGTAGTTGATGAATGAACGATGGTGGTTTGTGTTGTAGTAGTGTGAGTGTGTGCATGGTTGGAAAGGTCTTCTACATTCTATAATCAAATCGATAAGATTTTGACACCGTGTGCGTATGTGTCTCAGCAAGAGGGAGAGGGAGATAGATAGATGGAGGGAGAGAGAGAGAGAGAGAGAGAGAGAGAGAGAGAGAGAGAGAGAGAGAGAGAGAGAGAGAGAGAGAGAGAGAGAGAGAGAGAGAGAGAGAGAGAGAGAGAGAGACAGAGGGAGAGGGAGAGGGAGAGGGAGAGAGAGAGAGAGAGAGAGAGAGAGAGAGAGAGAGAGAGAGACAGACAGAGAGACAGAGAATAAAAGGAAGACAGAGAGACAGAGAGAGACATGCAGACACACACAAGACCCACATGTGTATGCACAAACACACACATACACACACACACACATACACACACACATACATGCACATGCACACACACACACATACATACGTACATGCACACACACATACATGCACATACATACATACATACATACATGCACATGCATACATATACACACACACACATACACACACACACACACACATACACACACACACACTCATGCACATACACACACATGCACACACACACACATACACACACACACTCACATACACACACACACACTCATGCACATACACACAAACACACTCATGCACATACACACACACACTCACACACACACACACACACACACACACACACACACACACACACACACACACACACACACACACACACACACACACATACACACATACACACACACAAACACACACACACACACACCTGGTCCTGGTAAACACTGCCATTACGGACATGTGTCACCTTGCGGGGCCGACAACATGGAAACGATGAGCGACGGCAGAAAGTCGGCAGTCCGCCGAGAGATCAGAGACCATGTTCAATCGGCACGACGAGAGAGCCATCTTTGGCAGCTATGGATTTGGAATCCACAAGTAGAGCGGCAGCACCGACTAGGGGCCCCACAGTGGGCCTAGCAGCATGAGAGGGCGAGCCGCACACGCGGCAGCGGAGGAGTCGCCTGAGCAGCAAAGGTAGACAACGCCGCCCGGCATGGAGCCTGAGACGATGTCGCGGGGAGCGTCCGGGAGTTGGGGCACTTGTGGACCGCCAACCCCCCCCCCCCCCCCCCCCCCCCCCCCCCCCGGCACTGCGGAACCAACGCTTGCAGGAAGAACATTGTCGGCTACCTCTCTGTTCCGATACAGGACCTGTTCATACATTCACACACACACACACACACACATACACACACACACACACACACACACACAAACACACACATACACACACACATACACACACACACATAAACACACACACACAAACACACACACACACCCTCCTTGGTGTGAAGGTGGACGCAAAGTTGAACTTCAGCGATCACCTACGCTCCGTAGCCACCCGTGCACGCCAACGGCTTGGGGTCCTAAACAGAGCCGCCCACATACTCACCCCCGCCGGCCGGACGACCGTATACAAGGCGTTCGTACGACCAGTCATGGAGTATGCGCCTCTTGTATGGATGGGAGCTGCGCAGAGTCACCTCCAGCGTCTGAACAATGTTCAGCGCCGCGCGCTTCATGCTATCGGCCCTGGGGCACACCTACCCAGCCTGGCCATCCGCCGCACTGTTGCCTCGCTTGCCTGCCTGTACAAGCTGCACTACTTGCCTGGTCCTCCGCAGCTGCTCTCTGTGTTGCCACCGCGCCACATCATCTCTACCAACCCCAGAACTCGCAGCGAGCACGGTGCTGTCAGTGGCCATGACCACCAGCTCCAACACCAGCTGCCTGCATCTGCCCCGCTGGCACTGAAGCGCTCGTTCCCACACTGCAGCATCAGCGATTGGAACTCCCTCCCTGCCGCTCTCCTATCCCAGCCTCCCCACAGCAAGAGAATGCAATCATTCAAAACGAATGTTTACCGCTATCTTCGCAGCACAAACTGGCTCCGGGCAGTCGATTCCCTATGAATAGTATGACGCTAAGACAGTTTCTCCCCCACAATCGCTCGTGTTAAGCCTTGGGTTTTTGCATCTTTCTCACCTGTACAGCTCTATCTTCTTCTTTTTTCATTGTTTTTGGTGCGTGTTTTTGGCCGTGACGCCGAGACCTCAGGTCGGCAGAGTCATCAATGCCCCACCATCACTGCTGCGTCTCGGTGCAGCGCCTGCTCATTAGTTGTCACGTTTGTCCTAGTCTCCGTACCATTGTCTTTCCTTATTCTTTTCGAGCTGGTTATGTGAACATAGTAAAAAAAACAAAACAAAAAAACACACACACACGCACACACGCACATACCCACACCCACGCAAACATATACACACACATACACACACACATACACACACACACACATACACACACACACACACACACATACACCAGGGACGAATTTACTTCAAAAAATTAGTAATAATTGCTACACACCCCGACGTTTGCATAGCAACGCAACAATTCTGCATAGCAGTTTCTTTTCCGTGGACAATGCCGTTGCCGTGCTGTAATTCCTCAAACCACAAAGCCAGGATGCCTTCTCCCTGCACATCTTGCAAAATATTTTGGTCACAGCTCCACCACTCGACTCTGTGCGAATCCCCACTTGATTATAAGTCACACTTGATTATAAGTCACACATGATAATAAGTCGCACTTGATTATAAGTCACACTTGATTGTAAGTCACACTTGATTATAAGTCGCACTTGATTATAAGTTGCACTTGATTATAAGTTTGAAACTCGGGTATTGAGCCAATAACAAAAGTAGAAAGGAAAAGGACATATGGAAACGAGTTAAGAGTAACTCTCCACCACTGTAACTAGATACTATATACAGTCAGAAAGTGCAAAAACTAGGCACACAACTGACAGAGTCCTGAGACATTCGACGTCCTGACACCTAGCTTCAACACATCTCCGTAGCGCTAACCGACAGCCTTCCAACTTGGAAGGTTCAAGGATATGGAAATACCAAAGAGGGGAAGGCAAGCGCAAGGAAAACGAGCACAAGCTACAGTCCCAACGGAACAAAGAATGTCGATTGTTATTGGACGATGACGAAACCAGTAGGCGATTTGACAAAGCGGTCTAACTACAATTCGAAGCAGCAAAGCAGCACACCGCCCAACTTGGGCGGGTCATAAATATCAAAGATAAGTAAAGAAGGGGGAAGCTTTGCGAAAACGAATTGTACAAGCCGAACGCCAAACTCCTACAGTACTCCTCATGCATGACATTGTGATGGACTAGTTGACCACAAAACAAGTTGTTTCACACGACGTACGTTTCGCCGTATGGTTCGTGACGGCTCATCAGGTGTGCAATTTGAAACTCTTTGGTATTTCCATATCCTTGAACCTTCCAAGTTGGAAGGCTGTCGGTTAGCGCTACGGAGATGTGTTGAAGCTAGGTGTCAGGACGTCAAATGTCTCAGTACTCTGTCAGTTTGGTGCCTAGTTGTTGCACTTTCTGACTGTATATAGTATCTAGTTACAGTGGTGGAGAGTTACTCTTAACTCGTTTCCATATGTCCTTTTCCTTTCTACTTTTGATTATAAGCGCACTTGATTATAAGTCGCACTTGATTATAAGTCGCGCTTGATTATAAGTCGCACTTGATTATAAGTCACACTTGATTATAAGTCACACTTGATTATAAGTCACACTTGATTATAAGTCACAC